AAGAAAAAGCTAAAATGGATAATGCTATGCATAAGAAAATAGAAGTAGCAATAACTTAGAGATATGAAAGAATTGACACTGAAGTTGGTTTAATGTTAGCAAGTATTTTAGACAAGCAATTAGAAAAATTAGAATAAATCAAGATTTAAAAAAGAAAATAGAAAGTGGATAATATATAATAAAACAAATAAGGTACTTTTGAAGACATTAGCTCATTTTCAAAGGCAGTTCAAAAAGAGAAAAGTGTGTAAGGATAGAAGAGTGCTCAAAGAATTTTATACACCACTTGAGAATATAAAAGAGAAGTTGTATACCAAGCTTGAAAATGAAATCACACTTGAAAAATGGTTAGCAGCAATTGGGAAAACCAAGAACAAAACTACATCTGGGGTTACAGGGATTGGGTACACTTTAATCAAGAATGCTAGTATTGAAGTTCACAAAATATTTAGAAGATTCACAAGTTTGTACTTAGCAGAAAGTAGAATTCCAAATAAATGGAAGCTAGTACAAGTATACCCAATTCCAAAAGATGAAAACTGGGTTTTCAGTTACACAATATTAGGCCAATTGCCTTATTAGAGAAATTTAGAAAATGCATTACACGCGTATTAACAAAGAGAATAGCTAAAGTTTTTGTTGAGAATAAGGTATTGTGTAGCCCAAATTTCGCAGGACTTCCAGGGTGTTTAACAAAGGAGGCAAGCAATTTGGTTTAGATAGTAGTTGAAGATGCTCATAAAAGTAAAAAAGAGTTGTGGTTGATATTCTAAGATGTGAAGAAGGTATATGACTCGGTGTCATTAAAAACACTTTATGCTGCACTATGCAGAGTCAAGATTCTATTCAAGATAATTAGTTTCATTATTGAGCTATTTAATAGAAGAAGAGTCAAGATAATTACTGAGTTTGGTCTTACAGAAGAGTTCAAGGCAGGTGATGGTATTGAACAGGGAGAGACAATTTCACTATTGGTGTAGCGGATATTTTATGATTCATTGTTAAGAAGAATTCAAGATAATGAGAAACTGAGATATAAAGTTAGTTCAAGCTATATAGTAAATTTGCAGATAAACAGAGAAAATATCAAAGCAATAAGACAAGCAATAGTAGCTTTCACTGATGATACAACTTGGATTGCAGAGAGTAAAGCCCAAGTTGTGCAAATAATAAAAATAGCACAGAGATTCTTTAAGTTTAATGATATACGAATAAACGGTGCAAAGTCCAAACTCATAGTAATAAATATGGATATAGAAAAGAGTGAAAGGTGGATCAAGGTTGATGGGCACAAGTTACAGGCTGAAGAGAAGAAGGTATTAACTCTGCTTTTGGGGGTTTGGATAAGTACAGATCCACGAAAGACTTTAGTAGTGAAAAAGGCAAAGAGTATTGTAAATCATTTTGTAAGAACATTAAGGTATAAGAGCCTATCTATTAGCCAACTAATTTATATAAACAATATGTATATTGTGCCAAAATTAGCTTACATGTTACAGGCAACAAAAATAACTGAAGCAAGCATAAATAGAATATACTAGCCAGTAGTGAGATTAATTAAGAACAAGATAGAATTGCCAGCGACAGCAGGCAATTATATAGTGATATATCAAGAGTTAGGGTGTTGTAGATCCTTGGGTCAGGAGCTGTTTAGCAAACAATTAGTATACTTGCTAAATAGGCTTAATAGATTAGATTAAGTAGGAAAAATTACACAAATAAGATTAAATAAGAGTTATACATTGGCTGGGTTAGTTAAAGAAAGTTGGCCAAAATCACAAAATTGGTATTTCAGAAAGGTCTGGAAGAACAATCTGGCAGCGTTAATTTTAGTTAAAGCAAATAAGTTAGAAGTATCAATTTGTGCTAATACTGAAAAGTGACAAGTTTGTGATACAGTTTCAATATTAGTTGAAGTGTTAGGCAAGAAAATTTATAGCATCTACTGTAGCAGTATTAGAAGCTTTAATTTATTCTACATGAGCCAATTGATTAATATAACAGGTACAAGAATGATAACATGAAATAAGCTTCGTGTATTGAGAACGAAGTCATTGAAAGGCTGTAAAGCGAAATGGTTTAATATTATAGAGAAGTTATTGGGTGTATAGAAAGTAGAGAGATAATTAACCATTTTAAGTTGCCAGAAGAGAATTTAATGTGTATACAAATAAAGGCAAGAAAGTTGTTTGATGATTGAAGACATCATGAGTGGGTAATTATCAACAATAAGAATTCAGAGTCAATAGTCAGTAGAATAATGAAGAAAAGAAAGGCACAGATGTTAATCGATCACTGGATACCTGATTCCTCAACCAATAGTAAAGACGTGCTAAGAGAGTATAAAAGTTGTAATTTGAGTCAAGTAGCTAAGAGCGATATTTGTCAATAGTGAGTAAAGAAGAGAAAGATTTAGGGACAATTCCCAAAATAAGTATAAATGATGAAGTGAAGGTGCTATTGCTGCTAAGAGAGACTAAAGATTATAAATTAGAGAGTAGTAATTTAACTAAAAGCAAATGTGAAAGAGAAATATATAGTGTATTAGTAATAAACTCTTATGAAAAAAGTTTGATTATAGAGCAGGGTTTTGATCAAGAGCTAGAGACACTATTAATACAGCAAGTAGAGGAAAATTATAGTAGGAATATAGATAGTAGTATATATTATATTGATAGGTCCTTGATTAAAAATAGTGTAGATTGTAGCATGGGTGCTGGATGGGTACAGGTAGACAATTTGGAGGAATCGATACTTGTGGAGGGAAAAATTAGGTTTGGTAAATAGCCATCATCAACAAAACCTGAGTTAGTTGCTGTGCTAATAGTAGTGCTAACAGCCAGGTGCAGAAGTGAGGTTGTAGTCAAATTAGATAGTGCTGCAGCAATTGCAAGCCTAGAAGACACAATGACGCTTATAGATATAAGAGTGTGGAGTAAGAAGAAGAATGCTAGTTTAGTAATAAAGATTAAAGATATATGTAGATCAAAGGGTTTAGTTCTTCAGTTGGTTAATGTAAATATTACTCTTGAAGAAAAATTATCACAAAAGGTTTACAGTTCATCTCAATGAACACTAGTAGAGGTTACAACAAGAAAACTTGTCAAGACATTGATGAGTTTCAAAACTGGTGCGGAGTGGCGCAACTCGAATGCTATTAGATTGTATAAAAGTAAGAATGACTCAAATTGTAGCTAGAAGGCCTTGTGGCGACAGAACAAGAAGGTGATTAAAATTAGATGCAAGTCACATGTAGCTAGCAGAAATATAGCCTTCTGAATTAAGTATATTAATGACAGCCTACCAGTTTTGGCTGTGTTGAAGAGAAAAAAAACCTGAAGTATATTTAGATAATAAGTGCGTAAGTTGTAAATGTGCAAAAGAAGATTTTAACCATCTGGTAGAGTGCACAGGGTATATCAATTACTCGGGTATTGTAAAAGAAGTTGCATGCTTACTTGCATAAAAGAAGTTAGATTGTGCATACAAACGGACAATATCTGTCAAGAGGTTTGGATTGGCAATTGGCGGTAATACAACTGAGAAGAAGTCCAAGCAAAGAAGAGACTATATTAGAGGACTCATACCTGATGATGCAGTGGCAGAGTTGTTAGATTTAGAGCTATCTAGGAAGATTGTAAATCTGGCAATTAATAGTTATGCAGCAATTGTTGAAAGTAGCTTTCTCAATGAAATTTGGCAAATTAGATATAATGCAGTCACTGAGTGGGAAAAGGAGATTGGTATAGACACAGCAATGAAAAGAAATAACCAGAAAAGTCCTGTTGTCAAGGGTACTATTACTACTGAGAGTTCAATATCAAGAGTAAGAAAAAACAAGTGTAATGGTAAGACAAGTGGTGCAGTTATGTCAATGAGTAATAAGAAAGAGGCAGAAGTTATAAAGTTATTTGAAATAGGTGTTGTTGAATGAGTTGAAAACAAATCAATCTCTTTTTGGTTTAGTTCTTGATAGAGCTGACAAGGTCTTCTAACCCACATATGGGTTGGTGCGACAAGTCACATCTGGGTACACATGATGTAGCCAGGTGATGCTGGGCTTACAATTTTTAATTAGATATTATTAGAATTTTTAAACTTTGTTTTTAGTCTAATAGTAATATAATTTGTATTTGAGCACTGACAAGACTGTCAAAAAATTAAAAAAAAAATAAAATAAAATAAATAAAATAAATAAGATTTTGAAAATATATTTTATGAAAACTCTTTATAACAATCTTCTTTGTGCATATAATAAATACATAAAGGTTTAAAGAACATGAGCTCGATTCTCTTAGTCAGAGCACTCACTTTGGCACTGGCATATCGTACCAGACACTACCACCTATACTACTGTATATTTACTACAATGTGTATCCACTAAGCAATATAAATGTTTTCACTAAGAGGCTTGTTCAATAAGCAAACTCACATTTATCAATTCTCATAAATCGATGCCCTTTTATTACAGATTATTAATCCAGGTACTAATTTAACCAGTTATACATATTATTATTATTATTATTATATATCTATTACCCCAATCATTATAAGCACCATGTGACATTATGAACTCAATTCACAATATCCCCAGTCTTCCAAACCCAACATTTCTCAAATGCAATATACAGGGGTTTGGTTATTATTGTAACAATACATTACACAAATTGGACAATTATCATGTGAGAAAACCTTCTTCAAAAAGATTTCTCGATAAATAATAATTCAAATTTGATAAAAAAGTTTCATTTTGATTCTATGAGTTCTCAGTATTAAAAAAAATATTTAATTGAATATATTTTTTTTTTTTTATATTAACCTCCAAAGAAAATGCCATGTAGATGTATTTTATTAATAATTTGCTAACTAATAGCTAATACAAAATTATACTATAACAAAAGTAAGCCTATTGGCCTATTCACATTTTTATTCTGGGGCCAAGTTCTTTCCACTTGCCCTACAACCTATCTAGATGAGTCCAGAAAAAGATATTTTGTTACCTTTTCCAGACTGTTACGTCTCTTCTTCTGTAAAGCCTTTAGAATCTTTAACTTCTTACTAATTCTCATATGAACTATAGCAGGTAGTATCGTTTCTGGTATCCATTTCTGTCCCCATTTAACCTGGGTATACCAGTACCAGATCTCGTATAAACAGGTGATATGCAGCTATATAGCTGCATTATATTTGGCTGCACCCCCACATTCGTAGCAGAGAAAATTTCATTCCATGATTTTGGAGGTCCATTCTCACTTGAAATAGCCAGGAGTTTATAAGCTTCGGACTATATCATCTTACTGATTCTACACTCCAGAGCGAAGTGTAATGGGGTTTGTATTTCTCCCAGGTATGCAGGTTAATCAAATTTGAATTGCAGGTTTAAAAATCTAGCCACAGCTTCTTTTTAAAAATTTGAATGAATAAAGATTACATGGCACTTACCTGGTTAAATTTGATCAAAATTTTTTTATTTAATTCTGTATTCTTAAAGAATTAAAATAAAAAAAATTTAATCGAACTTGAATAGAAAGTTTTCAAGGGAAATTTATTAAAAGTCAAAAAAAAATCTGGCCACAGCTTCTTTTTCAAGACATCAAAAATTTGAACAAAGATTACTTAGCATTTACCCAGTCAAATTTAATCAATTTTATTTTCATTTAATTCTGTGAGATTACTGACTTAAAATAAAAAAAAAATTGATCGAATTTGATTGGGTAAATGCCAAGCAACTTTGTTCAACTTTTTGATGTCTTAAAAAAGAAGCTGCGGCCAGATTTTTTTTTGACTTTTAATAAATTTCCTTGAGAACTTTCTATTTAAGTTCAATAAATTTTTTTTTTTATTTTAATTCTTTGAGAATACAGAATTAAATAAAAAAATTTTGATCGAATTGAATAGCAAGTTTCAAG